GACTCTCTAATAATATTGACTGATCTTTGAATGGAATCGAGAAAATAAATGAAGAACTCATTCTTCAGTGTCATATACAAGTCAATCAAAATTATCGTATGTTCCTTCTTTCTGCCAATGACTCTAGCGATTGTATTATATATAATGCAAATCCATAGCGTACGACAGTTTCTACCGATGCAACTAAAATATAAATGTCTTCATGTTGCAAACATTTAAAAACATCTACTCTGGTAATCAGTGTTTCGAACAATACATATGCAGATAAGACTGTCGATTGAATTAAGCAAAATTAAACTGCCACTTTTGTTTTGTAACGGTTACATGTTAGAAATGTAATGATGTTAATGCGAAAGAGGAAAAGGCGGATCCTAGTGATTTATCAAAGTGCAATGAAGCCTATCAGAGTTTATCTAGATTCAGTGAATTTCAAGAGAGCTATAAAAAAACACTGAAATTTGCCCGAATTCAGTAGAGACTGTTGACATTTACTAACGGATGTCGCAGGATAAATTTCACTAAATCTCAACGCATTTTTTTCTCGGTTCTTAATCGTCAAAAACCCTTTCCCTTATGCCAAAAGAAACAAAATTTCAAACTCTAGAAAACTGAATTTTATTTTTAAACAAATTTTCTTTGTCAATACAAAATTTTAAAAGTTCACATCTACTCAATCATTTTACAGCGATTTCCTATTTTCTCACAACATTTATTGATTTATATGCGCCTTTGCTGATCAATATCGATACTAAAACAAATTATTTAACATCAATAGAGAGAGAATTTTGTGCTATATGCTTCCACGACCTTTTCCAGGCTTCTGGCGCTGGTACTCAAAGGAGAAAGATTTAAAACTGGCACCTGTGAATATTTTTGCGTAAACCATCGAAAACCATGCTTCGAAAAGCTAAACTTACTCTATGTAACATTTATTATTAAATCATTAGATGCAGAATTTGATTCTGAACAAAATAGTGCAGATATTCAACGAAAGGGTATGGGTGTAGATATGGGTATGTACGAACAAAACAGACAGACTCACATCCACTCACACTCATATCCACACCCACATCCACCACAGACGCACGGCCATCACAGACCAACAGATTCACACTCACCGCAGACTCACACCCACCCACATCTTTTTTCGGAATTTTGTCATACGAGACTATTTTTCGAGATTGTTGCTTTCGAAAATTGTTCTTTCGAGATTTGAACAGTAATCGGAATAAAAGTCCAGAAAACAAGCTACGAGATGATGAGAAGCTCATGTAAACCGCTTGAATTATAGAAGACTTATTTATGTTGGTTTGCGCGACGGACTTTTGAAACATCATGTAGTTTCTCTAGGAATAGCATGCTTGATCATATTTTTTAACTATCTCCCTTAATTCATCGTCAATTGCATAAATATGAATTTCGTCTGGTTCCAATTTGAATTTTTCATGAGAAGGTTGAATAAGTAACGCTTTGCTAAGTGAAAAATTCAATGGAAGACAGTTTATATTACTTGCATAGAAACTCCCATCAGTTATTGCACCCTCAACATAGTAGTTTTTACACATAGATGGTGTAGACGATAAAGATTCGTTCTTTTCCAGCGATTGCCGGTTTGCTGAAGGCTGCCCAGCTGGTGGGTAGCTACTCAGTGCAAAATATTTTGCATCAGATTTGACTATGTTTTTTATGGCTTTCAAACCATTGTGTATGTTCATATGCCGCAAAGCATCGCGGACTATTACCAAGTCGAATCGGTTGCTTATGCAAAATATTCTAAATTATATGGCAACTTTTTTAATGGAATTTATCGTTACCTTTGACTTGATATGTTCCATTTACGAGAGTAAATGTAGATATCGGACAACAAACAATATCCCAACGTTGAAATATTTTATTACGATGTGACGATTGATATAATCGCCGATTTAGTTCGATGACTTTTCGAGAAATATCTTCACCAAAATAGAGTTGCTCAATGGTATTCATTTCTCGAAGACTAAATTGCCAATAAGTATCCCCACAAGGTATGTCGGCAACTAATCGAATGGGCAAATGGTGAAATAATGAGCGTAAATGGCGAATCTAATCGAAAGCGCCTTTCAATGTCGAACCTAATCCAGAACGACTCTCTTCCGATGCCTAATATCGTATGTCAAATATTTTGTCAAATAATTCAGTACGACTTAAAGCCGACGAATCATTGATTTCTATCTCACATTGCAAATCAAGAGAATAGACAAAGAAACCGGATGGGTCACTCGATTTTGTCGTTGTAATCGAGCTATCAACAATAGTAAGGGGTCTACGAAACTTGCGCACGACGAAACTTGCGCACGGAAACTTGCGCACGGAAATTTGCGCACGACGAAACTTACGCACGGAAACTTGCGCACTGCAAAATGCGCACGCACAACTTGCGCACAGATCATTTGCGCACGAGATGAAAATTCATAGTAATTATTATTGATACTTCGAAAGACAGTGAGAGTACAAACAGATAACAGAAGAAANTTTTAATTTATTCTCTCTTGAAAGCGAGGAACAATTCTGTCTGCTAAAGATCACGTTTGAATATGTTTCGCATCCATCGAGAAGTTGATAAAGCAATAGTCGCTTGAAAACGATCAGAGGATGATAACCTAGCAATAATATAACGACATCTCTCTTTCTTTCAATGTTACTATATGAACGTGACATCGAACTACTGAATGAAAGTTGCCTCATATGACCGATTATGATCGAAAAATAGAATACATACATATTTTAGAACCTCAATTTATTTTTGAAATTTATAAGACTGAATCTTGAGAAAAAATAAAAATGCAAAGCTCTTCTGAATAAACGGTTTGAACCACATGCAAATTCATTGTGTTACCAGTACATTTTTGTTCTGGGCGACCAAATATTTAATAGGATTTAATGACTGTGAGTCAAGAGAAAGTACAAAGAATATTAATGCGTTCGAGCAGCGTACTTGTGTTAGCACTCTGAGGATACAGTGTTTGAATGTAATTTTTGTTTTGAAATAGAGAAAGCTTTCATTGAGATTGAAGTGCATACATAAGAAAAAGAAAAAAAAATGAAATCTGTTTGTTTTTTCTTTCGTTCTGATTCTAGATTCTTCTATGTTTTCTGTCTGTCTTACACAAGCACGCTGAAACTATTGCTAACTACTTGTGCAATACACATGTAAAGAGTGAAGCATAAGAAGCCGTGCAAAGATATTGCTACATCAATTACTCATAAGAAAACTACCGAGTGTCACAACTTGTATGTGTTTGAATTTCGACCTACATTCTTTTTTTCTTCGGAGCCTGGGTACTTTTCAAAGTATCCTAATTCACTTGTTCTGGTCTTCGGTTGACGCGTTCCAACACTGAACAGTGGGGAAGCTCACCAGATTATCATCGATAGATGAAGTCTACATGATTGGCGTATTGCTAGGTAGTAAGGTTACCAGTCGATTTGTTGAATATCTAAATAAACCCAAATCAACATATTTCTTTATGTGCGTATGTTATTCTTGTTTGGTATTTGGTAACGTTTTTATCTTGATTAGCAACACTTTTTCCTAACAATTAATAAACGTTGCATTTCATCCTATGAATCAAATGAAAGAATATACTCTAGCAAACCAAAAACATACGCACATGGAGAAAAATGAGCTAAGATTCTTCATGGTTCGTCATATTGACTGAAGAAACTGAAAAATCGAAAACGCAAGACCAAGTACCGCCTTGATTATCAATAGTTTGTGTAATAACTTCTGTTGACCAAATCAAGCATATTCACTAGTAAATTATGTTTATAATTAGGAAATTGTTGGGAAAGAAACAAGGAGCGTTACAAATCATCTTTATAAGAAAATATATTTATATTTTTGTTGAAATTTATTGATATCATTGAAACAAATTTACGGAAGAGAAAACACGAGAACGATCATCTCATCACGCTCAGCGTTATTGTGGTGCTGTTTCATGTAAATTTATGTATTTCATCAAAACAGCTTAAATCAATATTTCATCAAATTTCATGGCATCATTGATATTAGAACTTATAGTTTGTCGAAAACATAGTCAAAATTCTGTTAAGTTGAATTTCTTTCTTTGCCAACCTCTTGTTGTTGCTTTGACATAGTGCAACCTCAATACAGAAACATTCTTAGTTCATTCCATTGATTTATCCAAAGCCGAATATCGAACCGATTTCAACTTATATCTCGAGTGCTTGAACATGTTGATGACAAGAGTTCTGGAACATATTCTACAAGTTCATGCTATCTTTCGGTAATGATGATGACTCATTGTTGCCATCACACAAACATTAAGAAAGCCGTTTTCGGTATGAGTGTAGATGAAGTGAAGACAGTCACCTACACACCCTACAGCTACATCTTTAATGCTTCGTTTTCACGCTCTATCATTCAGCTTGTCCAAATATGACATTTATCTTGTCTACTTTGAAACATTGAATAGAATAAAACGACGATTAATCATTTCAACTAATGAAACATATTGATTGCATGCAAGTAGCTATTCTTGTTTATGCGCAATCGCTATATAAAAGAGGTGAGCAAAAGGTACAATGCTCGGCAAAAAATGTGAGGAGTGAAGGAGTGGACCTAGATGGAATTTTCATTAAATTTATGTCTTCTATGCGTCAATACGCTCGCTATTTCCAAAGAGCATATAATATTATATTTTTTCTTCGTTCACAAATAATAATGTAGCAAACTAGACATTCTAAAGGAAATATGGAAATTCACAGTGCAACAAGGGTATTAAAGTTGAAACTTTTGTGTTTATTAAGGTAAGTAAAGACAAAAAGCAATCGGGATGGTTATTCATTATGGTATTGAGAACAATTAGAATTCATTCAAATGTTAACTATGCCGTTACATTAACTTTTTATTTTCTTTTGGTCTGCTTTGATACTAAGAATAATTTACTTTAAGTTCTATTCGGCAAGAGAGTTAAAGAGGACATATGACAGTCGAAATCTCATTTCTGCTTGAGAGTATAGACTTCAATTTCAACAGTTTTAAAATAATGTGAACCGGTGAATGTGAGACGTCCTTTGCCAGTTGAATCAATATAGTCACTGGGAAACATAATATTACTGCGAGCATTTTGATTACTATTTGAATAAGTACAAATGTCCCATAGGCCAAAGATCGGTCCCATCGTCGCTTTGCAACCGATTGCATTTCGACCTTCAGCATTTATTTGATATTTAGTAGGCAAAATTTTATGCGGATTAATTAGCGTGAACAGAAATGCGTCCATATCCACCGACCATTTCCAATTCTCGTGAGTTTCCCAATTGATCGATGTGTATCCACCAAATAAATGTCCGCTCGTTGATTGAATCACGGTCAATGTGGCACCTTTTCTATCACAACAGCGATAAAAATCGGTACTAGAAAATCCATCTCGTGTCGCTTTGTAAATAAGTCGCCACATTTGGTTTCGTTTTCCGTAAAATTCGTTCAATTGAATTTGATGTTCTTGACATAAAAGTGTTCCATCGGAGAAATATTTCTTTCCGCGACTACTATCATGTTCGAGTGAGTTTTGAAGTTGTAAATTCAATTTGATGGGTGGAATGACCATCTTGATGCGAGGTTTATGTCGATCAAGATCGATTTGAATTTGATTGAGTCTTTCACTTAAGTATTCGATATCCTGTTCGAAATAATTATTCTCGAATTTATATTTTCGTAATTCTATTGAAATGTGATCTAAATCAGCTTTGATAGTAGACGTTCTAGATGTCATCAGTTCCTTAATATGGCTTCGTATACTATCGGCCGTTTGTGTGATGCTTTTCAATGCTTGTTCTTCCCATTGGTTGATATCATGGAGAATAGCCTTCAGTTGAGACTGTTTGATCTTCGATGAATGATCCACGATCTGATGTGGTAAGTTACTTCTATCATGGCATAATTGCGCGAACTTAGTGTCTAAATATTGACGATGTTCTCGAAAATGTGTTGAACAGAAACAATTGCAACATCCATTACATTGAGCAATGCTTGTCTTTTTACAGTGGGAACATTTTGCTGACAATATTTCAGCCATGTAAAAAGTAACAGTGTGTACGCCTTTCACAACACAGCAAGACAAGAAGAGAAAATGAATATTTAACGACAAGAAAGAGAATGTTATTTTACTAGGTGGAAGTCATACAATGTTATAATAAAAGCTAAACTCAGCAGGAGTAGTTTTCTTTTAAATCTTTGAAATGCTTCTATTTTATTCTCAAACAAGAGGCAACCATTAAGAAAAATCATATGTCATCTTTCATGCTTTACAGAAAAAAGAAAAGTAAAAAAAACATAGTAACATTCATTGCGCTTAGAAACTGAACCAACTACGAACAAGATATGTATACTAATTCTCCTCAGTAATAGTACTGGATAAGATTAAATAAAATTCTATTAGAAAAAAATGCTAATAGAATCAATGAATACTAAAGAGAACCCAAAAAAACCCAAAGATTTCAAAAAAGAGGTTGCCTGTGTGAGTCTTGATGAAAACAAAATACACACATTTACACCTATATTCAGCCTCAAGTTGAGTACCTTTGACGCTACAAGATGAAAGATGAAATTTGATGATTTTACATGTTCATAACTTTGTCTAATAATTTACTCTGGTTACACTGTTCATTGATCATTTGTCTTCCTTCTTTCTAGTTAAATTGTCATCAAAAAATTGACTTAGATGTCTTCTTTCACTGGTTCGTCAAAAATATAAAAGGCGTTCTTAATCAAAAACCGAATTCTTTTAGAATATTAACTTGCTTATTTGTTTTTTTTTAATCCATATATATCTAGTCTATTCATGATTTAAATAATTATTGCGTATCGATTAACATGACTTCAGCGCCGGTCGGAACTGGTCATATCCTCTAACTTTTCTGACGTGTTTCCTGCAGGATTCAACCATAAACACTCCGGAACTCATCGTATCCACCTAAAACTCATTGATTTCAAAATTCGATTCTGGTGGGAATCGGTCATTTTCGAACAGGTTCCGACGCGTTTCCTGGATGATCGATTCTATTTTCCGCACGAACCCGATATAGAAAACCATCAACTTAGAAATAGTATCATGAACACTAAGCCACCATGCTGAAAAAAAAATGATTTAATCACAATAGGATGTGCTGGTGTGAGTGTTTATTTGATATGGTACACTTCATCACTCTTTCCCATATACGTACGTCCACACCGAATCCAAGTTCGATTATATTCACTCTCGACACACAATTGGCGAAAATGAAAAAAAATTGATTCTATTAAGAGTGTCGTGAATGATTCTCTGTCCGAAAGAGTCATTGACAGTAACTTTTCCAAGAATAGACATTTATGCCACGTATTTCAAAACTTTCGTCGAGTCTTTGAGATTTTCAATAATCAAAATAACTTGGCAATGTATTTCTCAACTATTTTTCTCACATTTCGAATGTTCATTTCATTGATTTTATCAAAACTGAACTAGAAGAAATTTCACCACGGGTTTCTTAAAGCGTCGTCATTAGCGACTATGGATGGGGTGGTTGAAGAGAAGATCCACACCCATCCATACTCTCACTCAAGATGTAGACCACATTAGTTAATCATGCCGATAGTAAAAGACCTGTATCGTGTTCTTCGTTCTACTAAGTGCTATTTATGAATACGTTTCAACGGGATTCCGGAACTTCGCCAATTTTGACTCTCGCCAATTATTGGCGAAATTCCACGGAATGTATTGGCGAAAGTTCAATGGATCTTCGCGAATTGGCGACTGTCCAACAGATATACTGGTGAATGTCTACTGAACTTTCACCAATTGGCGAATTTCCAAGAGATATACTGACGAATATCCAGTACGTATACTGGCCACAGTCGAATAGATTTTTATTCGTTCAAGTGAGACATTCATATTCTGCATGATATATGGAAATCACACTTAGTATTATTTAAATGTAATGTGAATCATTCGGTTATAATTTCATCAAGCCAATTTCTTGAATATTTCGATAGCAAGCTTGACACATGTGGAACCACCATCCAGTTATACTTGTATCAGGTAACTAAGTCACATTTACATAGACGAATGCATATTTTTGAATACTATGAGATATTGAAAAAAAATGACGTACTTCTGTTTGAACAGCATTCATAAATGCTCTTTCGAAATCACAAACAATAGTAGCTGGTTTTAAATCGATACCTTTTTTACCACCTATTCTTTTCAAACATCGGAAAATCGCTTCATACGTTTCTTGTTTTCTATTTGATGTTAGTATAAAACAAACAGGAATGGGTAAAAATAATGAGAAAGAGAAATGAATAAACATTTTTTTTATCATTGGCAATATTATTGCATACGGTGCGAACATATCTCTCTCCTTCTCTCTTATCTTATCTAATTCAGGTGCATTCTTTCGTCTCTTTAGCCTATGTACATATGTATACGTATATATCATGTTTGTTTCTCTGTCATTTTCTTTCCGTTCTCTCTTATATCTTTATGCCATTAATTGGAAAGAAAAAGAAGATTTATACCTTCGCCATTTTGCATCCCATGTAATACATATAGCTGCTCAAATAGCTTTGGTGAAACCTTAAATGTACCGTCAGCAAATAATACATCTGAACCATATAAGACATTTAACTGTTCATCAGAAGCAAATATCATCAGACGACCTCCATAAATAGTTTTTCGCTTATCATAGATAAGAAATTTTTGATGCGAGTAGGTTTCTTCATAAACTGGTGGTACGAGACACTTTTGATTCTGTGGTATTGGTGGTAATGATTTTCTTCTTAATTTATGTAGGCCAGATTCTAATGAATACAAATTAGAAGGTGGAATTACATTACAGAAAGAGAACTAATTTATATACCTATTTGAGCCGGAAGAGGCATCATTCGTTTTTCTTCGCCTGATAGATTTGCTTTCCTATATTCTTCTTCAATTATGATTTTGATTGATATATATTCATCAAGAACACGATGTTTAATTTGTTTAATATATCACGCTTTCGTGTTTCACGTGCATCAGATGGATGACAATGGAATATGCCGTTCCAGTGACTAGATTGCCCTGTTTGTTTCGAGATATGAATAACGGCTTTGCAATTCTCATTTCTTCGAGCACACCGCCAACCCGTTGTTTCTTTTGCCATACTCATATAAAGATATGCAAAGCCGTTCATGAAAACCATTTTTGCACCTCGTGTTGATGTACCCGTTGTTACTTCTCCTTTGATGACTGGTACATTCATAAGATGATTTGAATCTCCTGTGAATATTTCATTTTCATCGTTGTTTGATGATTCTAATGATATGATAGAATCATTATTATCATTCTTTGTTGGTGATGATGTTGTTGGAGAAACTGAACCCGTTATTGGCGTTGAAGATGTTGGTTCAACTGTTGCATCGCCTTTTTTCAATATCACATCTTCATGAGGTTGTTCATGAATATCTTCGGGTGTAAGTACAGCATCTAAAGTTGTTGACTGTGGTTGAAGTGGAGGACATATTTGAGATTCAGCACAAGGTATAATCTGTTGTACTTGAGCTTGTTTACGTTTCTGCTTTGATGAACATTTACGAGTTGTTTTTCCAGTTGATCTTGAAGTTGGTGTTACTTGATCTTGTGAATGAATTAAATCTGCATTAGCTTGCGATCTTAATGCTGCTGCACGAGTAGTAACAGGCATTTGATTAACAATAGCTATCTGAAAAACTCGAAATCATATCATATATACTAAACTTTTTACCTATGTATTGATATGAACAGATGTTCAATGTGTTATACTTCATACTTGTTAACACACAAATGATATTAGACTTATTTCGAATAAATCTAAAACTACAAATAAAAATTTTGATCATGTCATTTCCAACAATTTTCTTAGTGTGTATTTGTTACTGATCTCTCCGATCAATACCACTATCATTTTTCAATCGCCCAATATCTGAAGGATTTAGCGGCGCAAGTCCAGTGAAAATTCGCCAATTGGCTAACGTGAGAACAGTAAACTGGAGAAAGATCAATGGACACTCGCCAATTGGCGAATGTCAGGAGGGTACATTGGCGAAAGTCTTATTGGCGAACTTCCGGTAACCCATTTCAACAGTGTCTAATTATAAAAGTCTAGCATGCGTGAAAGAAAAGGACGAAGGACTTAATCATGGATTAAAAACGTCGAAATAAGTTATCTTCACACATGCAAGCTGTGTGACAACGTTTCTAAAACAACTCAATAAATATCAACCAATACGTAAATAAAAGAATGCTGTTCAAACGGCGTACAATATCAATTGTGTCTACATGCATGAAATGTTATCTTTTGAACGCTTACAAAAAACATACGTGCTGGC